TTGGTGTGGAAACCAAACTGTCCCATATTTTACCTAAGGTTTTTACATTAAAAATATTGTTTCGAATTTTGTTGGGTTCATCTGAAGGAGGACGCAAGTTGAACTTACAAAATGTTTGTGCACGCGTGTGTTACTACAACATGCAGTGCGCATGACAAAAATCATTCAAAAACTGGGACAGTTGCTCTAGAATGAGGCTGCTTCAAGGGGATTCCAAGAGCCATCCCTGCAAAATGCCAATCACGCATCGAATCTGTGCTTTGTGGTGGCAAGGAACTCTGAGCATGGATTCTTTAAATTTGGGTGAAACTTGACTATCTCACCAAAAGGGCAGGAACGTAGTAGAACGGAATACATTTACACTAAAATTCGAACAATTGGTAATCGCATGTACTCGCCAAAAAAGGTGCGACAAAAGCACGGCGCAGAGATTTTGAACTGCAATCGTCGGAGTTGTAGGGCAACAAAAACGATCCAAGGGCACAGCTTGAATTTCAATTGATTGGTGTGGAAACCAAATCCGTCCCGTATTTTTCCTTCTTAAGGTCTTTACTCATTATAAATATTGTTTCGAATTTTGTTGGGTTCATCTGGACAGGGACACCGTAGGTTCTACAAAATGTTTGTGCACGCGTGTGTTACTACAAAGTGCAGTGCGCATGACAAAATAATCACCCAGCAAAATGTTACTACAAAATGACCGTGAGTCAAGAACAAAAAATGGTCTGAGGGTCCGCGTGCCATAAGTTGCTGTGACCCAGCATGGCCGGCAAAAGCAGACTATAGGGTTTTCTGTCATAACTCACTACAAAATGTAGTTCCGATTTTTCAGAGTTAACTTCAAACACTGAAAAACCGTTACAAGAAGCAGCACATGATCCTTGACTACAACACACTAGGCACGACTTCATTTTTGGAAGTCAATCTATATCTCAAATCCAGCATGGTACCCAGCACGTGTTCACCCTTTTAGTAGTGGAAATCGTAAGGGTGATTTTTGAGTTGCAAATCGAGCTCTCGCTACACTTTGGTGCATTTTTGTTGCGATGTTTTTTCCAGATCGAGGCCCGAAACGGTGGAAACAGAGATCTCACCTTAGAGAGCCCAGGAGCCACCATACTTGCAAAAACACACGGGCTACTTGCATGGTTTCACCCGCGAACTAACCCGTTCACGTACTGCTACTACATTCAACTGTGCCCTCCTGCACACTGCTGTTGCTGCCGCTGGGGTCGATATGATGACAAGACTGACCATCGACATTCGCTCGTAACTCGGAAATTTGTGACCTAAATCCATTTTGATTAGTTATTGGCGCATCATATTGCCCAAATACCTGGCAACCGTGGATTTGCAAAGTGTTGGCATGGAACCGGTAGGTCAACCATGTTTAGGCAGTTGGCGCTGTTGGGATGGCCAATGTTTTCCTATTTTCGTTTTTGCATGAAAGGAATTTCTGATTGGATGTAGCCAAGAAAAACGCCGGCATGTGGATCAGCCTTCAAGAGAATTTTGAGGCCTGCCGCGCATGTAACTAGATTAGTTTCACTCGCCATGAGGCGTCCAGGTTTGACCATTTGATGGCTCTAAGAGGCAGGTGTTGGAATTCCACGTTGCTGCTGTTGTTGTTGAAACTAAAAAATGTGTGATACCTTCACCAGGTTTGGCGGCGTTGGCGGCGTTTTAGTATTGTTGGAGCTACTCCTTTTTTCTCTCGATCGGTTGGGGTGATGGAATGGGGTCCAAACATTAAATATTTCACACGCCGCTGGGGGCCCCCGGGGGCCCTGAACATGAGAGACTTTAAATTCACAACCAATCCTTTACCCGCAAAACATTTGCTGAACAAAAGCTAACTCCGGCTACCAAACTAGTTTTGCTGACTTCACAGTTTATTCGCCGGGCTCCGAAGAGCAATGCCCAAACCATTCACACCGCGGTGATCTCACGTTTGAACCGATTCGAGGTGCAAAAAGGTGATCGAAACGTCAAACCCCTGCACCGATTCTGCCACATGGACCTGCAATTTGATCAACCCCTACCCCTGCCTGTGTGTTGCTCGCATGGAATAAACCCCGCGTTTGCTTTGTTTTCTTGCATCCTTGACGGTACGTCGGCAAAATCGCAACTTCATAAAGAGCAAGTCCAAGCACCCACCGACCCTGCGCATTCGAAACGTCCATCGAAATCTGACACAACACGTGCAAACTAGAACAACATTAGCAAAAAAAAGTTTCTTTTCTTCCTGCTTGCGCAGGCTTGGTGAAGATCGGGCTCTCACTGGTGCCTGTCATGAACAGATGAAGGACAAGAAAATTTTGCTTTGTTTAGGTTTCAAAGCCTTATGGTGCAAAAAGCATTGATAGTTTTCTGACGGTTTTAAACTCCCGAACACGTTGAACACAGCAACTTTCAATGTGATCGTATGAGCATTGGAAAATATTTGAAGTTACTTCAAAAGGCAAGGCCCTAAGGCGGACCCTACCTAGTTTTCCATTTCTTGATCTCGCTTTGATCACAAAGCTCGCCTTTCAACGCAGCACTCGGGTTCATCGTTTCCAAGTCGTGAATTTTCACAAACCTATAGTTTGGTCAGGCGGACCCACCTCGTTTTGAACTTCATTCCGGTGCCAAACTGGAAAATATGGCCTATGACTATTTGAATGGGTCAACATGAGAGACTCTTCCACAAAAAGATTGTCTTATGTGCCTAAAGTTCATGTCCGCTCGAATAAAATATCACAAACCAACGAGCATACGTGTGCCTATACAAAATTGCGAATGAAACGCTCCGAGGGTGGAAACAATTGCCATTGAGAAGTCGTAATGCATGCCTGCATGTGGATGTGACATTAATTCATTGGGTGCTGCACATTGCCTGACATAAGGTGTTGCCACACCTTGCCAAGACCGCATTAGGCACATGATTCACTCGCAAACGCTCGTGATACAACATGATATTTACAATATTTTGCATGGTGAAAATTGGTTCATGCAGGCCAGGGCGGTTGCTGCTAGCAAAGTACCTTTGTCTTGTTTCGAACTTTGGCCGGTGACGCCACTCAAACAGTGTTGTGACTCGAAAACATCGGGGAGAAGCGGGAAGATCATAACGAAGGCAGAGTAGGCAGGCTGAAATGCAACCATGGAGGAGGCCAAGTTGGCTTGACGACCAAACTGTTGAAATATTCTCACCACTCGCCAGTTGAGTGGTTCAATCATGGTTTGTTTTCAGGATGGCCCCCACGTGAATTGAAACAATCACACTTTGGAATGTTGACGTAAAAGCTGCACGCCATACCTACAGACTTTTGCCCAATCGGTGTGGTGGGAGAGTTGCACGAAACATTTGCGTATGTTACTTTCGGCCGTGTGAAGAAAATATTGGAAGTGATGCAACCTGAAAAGCCACATGGGTTGAGGATGGAAACACTGCAAGTTTGACTGTTCATTGTCAAGGCCACTGCGACAGAATGTGAGCCCGGTAAAAACTTGTCTCCATATGGCAAGCGGTGGAAAAACCTTTGTCAAATCGTCTGGTTTGGTTATCGCAATTGATGCAGCAGGACCAATTGAAAAGATCGTGGGCGCAGTGCTTCGCGTCGCTTTCCTATGGCTGGGTGTGTTTGGGGGATGCTTTGCAGTCATTCTTAGGTTTATCTTTCCCTGATGATACATTGCTGTTTCCAAATATATACGTTAGAGGAGACAGCATCAGTTTTAGTTTCGCTGGCAAGCGTCTTTTCACAGGTGGGTACTTTATTGCTGACCACTGTGGTGCGGGCTAGCGAAGCAACTGGCAACGGTATTGGGTTCCAAACCCTGAATCAGCCCAAGGGACGAAAGGACACACAACAAGTGTCCAAGCATTTGCCTCCAGCAGATTCGTTGGATTGCAGGGGATCGCTATGTTTCGATTTATGTTTGCCTACTTTTTTTTCCATTTGGTGGTCAGTTCTGAGGCTTGTTCTGCAGCTAGTCACCGCACAATTCGTCAACAATTTGTTCATGCACAGAATTTCCGCGTTCGTACAGTATTGGCACCGGCTGTAGGTCCATATGAAGTATTTTGCGGAAGCAACCGTAGCACAATATTGTGCACGTTGAATCGGAAGGCCGTAACGTGGGAAGGATTCTTGGGGCAATCTTTTGGCCGCAAAAGGGGGACGCAAATCGTTGTCTAATGCCAGTATGCAGGTGCAACAGAGATGAGTCTCACTTGCCACACACAAAGCCGACTCCCATATGCAGATCGGCCTGCATGGCGATGCTATGCGATGCTGCAAAGGATGACATTCTTCAGTTCCAAAGGTTTGGATTCAAGTTGCTCAATATTCGCCTTTGAACTTGTGAAGTTGTGAAATCATGAGAAGTTACTGCAACGCTTCCGCGAAAGCTGCGGTTGGTTTGAAGTTTCAAGACACTTTTGCACAATCAGCTTTGCACTACCAATCCCGACACAAGCATGCTGCTTTCCTCCACCCAGGAAACACACAGGGCAACAGAAAAACAAAAACATCAAGAACTATCACCATGTTACATGAAAACGGACCACTCAACTTACGCGATAGGTCATGTGTGACAGGGAAGGACACCTTTTCAACATGTTTCAACCATGTTTAATAAAGGTTTATATAATTCAAAATATGTCAACCGTGTTTTAAAACTTACCGCTGCGATGTACTCTGGCCGATGCAAAAGGGCTAAAACAACTGGACCGCTCGTTTATTCCAAAAGAAGTTGATTCGTGAAGTAATTGTGTCGCCCGACTTGCGCATATTTTGAGTTACAGCAGTTACAGCGTTCAGTTTGCACATGCAAGGGCCACAAGGTTGAATCGTTGCGAAAAGCCGCAGGTCACTCTTCCCTTCTTTTGTGTTGCTGTGTGTGGCCATTCGCTGGAGGGAGTTTCATCTCGTGGTGCATCAACCATAACTTCTTCTGTCTGAAACTAGAACCCACGCCAAACCTCCAACGTTCTTAGGCAAATCTAGTTGGCTTTTTGAACATGATGGTGCATTGGCCGTCGTTCGTGCAAGTCATTGCTTGCTCCGCACTCGCTGTGCAAATTACTTGTAGGTGTTCGACCGGCTGGACATCAAATGCTCCAAAGGACCAAGAAGTCTTTTGAAGGTGTCCCTATCCATGGACAAGATCGTAGCATGGTCACTTGTGACCTTGATAGTGGCTGCACGGGGTTGATCCTTTAGCATAGCAAGCTCTCCAAAGTAGTCTCCGGCTGAAAATCGCATCATTTGCTTGGCTGGTCCATTGTTGACACTCTTCAAGGCAACCAAAGTCCCTTCCTCGACGATGTAAAATTTGTCCCCTTCTTCACCTTGTCTTACCACGATATCATCTTGCTGAACCCTCTCAGCCTTTAAAGAATCCGCAATTTGGGCACGTTGGTGATCATTCAGGGATGCAAACAAACTCACCTTTCGCAAAAAAGCATCATGTTTCACATTTCTCTTCAGAGCAGCATCCTTTGCAACGTGATTGAAAGTTTCCCTATCAAGTCGCCACACTGTGCATTCACTCTTGGCATCCACACTTGCAGCCCTGGGGCAATTGTACAACAAAGCCAACTCTCCAAACACCTCTCCACGAGTGCATGTCTTCACAACTTGTTCAACGCCATTCTGCAAGACCTTACACTCAACAAGCCCTTCTTCGACTACATACAAACAGTCACCATCGTCACCCTGTTGAATAATACGCTCACGCGGCTTGAAAGAACGCTTCTCCATAGCCAGTAAAATCACATCTTTGTCTTTCTCATCCAGCGACTCAAACACAATCAACTGTGGTTTCGATAGAATCTCCTTCAATCGCTTTTCTTGATCAGGTGTTTTGGGATGCTTTGGTGGCACAAAAGGCTTCTGCTGATTCCAAGCTCCGTAAACTTCTGCACTAACAGATCTCCGTGCAGTCATTGCCCTTTTCGGAGGTGGGGGAAGCTCATCAACATCATCATCTTCATCGTCACTGTTTGCAATTGCTTTCTTGTCAGCCCCAGAAACGGGCTTTTGCGACTTTGGCTCTTCCGAATACATGCTGGACCGGCTGGACATCAAATGCTCCAAAGGACCAAGAAGTCTTTTGAAGGTGTCCCTATCCATGGACAAGATCGTAGCATGGTCACTTGTGACCTTGATAGTGGCTGCACGGGGTTGATCCTTTAGCATAGCAAGCTCTCCAAAGTAGTCTCCGGCTGAAAATCGCATCATTTGCTTGGCTGGTCCATTGTTGACACTCTTCAAGGCAACCAAAGTCCCTTCCTCGACGATGTAAAATTTGTCCCCTTCTTCACCTTGTCCTACCACGATATCATCTTGCTGAACCCTCTCAGCCTTTAAAGAATCCGCAATTTGGGCACGTTGGTGATCATTCAGGGATGCAAACAAACTCACCTTTCGCAAAAAAGCATCATGTTTCACATTTCTCTTCAGAGCAGCATCCTTTGCAACGTGATTGAAAGTTTCCCTATCAAGTCGCCACACTGTGCATTCACTCTTGGCATCCACACTTGCAGCCCTGGGGCAATTGTACAACAAAGCCAACTCTCCAAACACCTCTCCACGAGTGCATGTCTTCACAACTTGTTCAACGCCATTCTGCAAGACCTTACACTCAACAAGCCCTTCTTCGACTACATACAAACAGTCACCATCGTCACCCTGTTGAATAATACGCTCACGCGGCTTGAAAGAACGCTTCTCCATAGCCAGTAAAATCACATCTTTGTCTTTCTCATCCAGCGACTCAAACACAATCAACTGTGGTTTCGATAGAATCTCCTTCAATCGCTTTTCTTGATCAGGTGTTTTGGGATGCTTTGGTGGCACAAAAGGCTTCTGCTGATTCCAAGCTCCGTAAACTTCTGCACTAACAGATCTCCGTGCAGTCATTGCCCTTTTCGGAGGTGGGGGAAGCTCATCAACATCATCATCTTCATCGTCACTGTTTGCAATTGCTTTCTTGTCAGCCCCAGAAACGGGCTTTTGCGACTTTGGCTCTTCCGAATACATGCTGGACCGGCTGGACATCAAATGCTCCAAAGGACCAAGAAGTCTTTTGAAGGTGTCCCTATCCATGGACAAGATCGTAGCATGGTCACTTGTGACCTTGATAGTGGCTGCACGGGGTTGATCCTTTAGCATAGCAAGCTCTCCAAAGTAGTCTCCGGCTGAAAATCGCATCATTTGCTTGGCTGGTCCATTGTTGACACTCTTCAAGGCAACCAAAGTCCCTTCCTCGACGATGTAAAATTTGTCCCCTTCTTCACCTTGTCTTACCACGATATCATCTTGCTGAACCCTCTCAGCCTTTAAAGAATCCGCAATTTGGGCACGTTGGTGATCATTCAGGGATGCAAACAAACTCACCTTTCGCAAAAAAGCATCATGTTTCACATTTCTCTTCAGAGCAGCATCCTTTGCAACGTGATTGAAAGTTTCCCTATCAAGTCGCCACACTGTGCATTCACTCTTGGCATCCACACTTGCAGCCCTGGGGCAATTGTACAACAAAGCCAACTCTCCAAACACCTCTCCACGAGTGCATGTCTTCACAACTTGTTCAACGCCATTCTGCAAGACCTTACACTCAACAAGCCCTTCTTCGACTACATACAAACAGTCACCATCGTCGCCCTGTTGAATAATACGCTCACGCGGCTTGAAAGAACGCTTCTCCATAGCCAGTAAAATCACATCTTTGTCTTTCTCATCCAGCGACTCAAACACAATCAACTGTGGTTTCGATAGAATCTCCTTCAATCGCTTTTCTTGATCAGGTGTTTTGGGATGCTTTGGTGGCACAAAAGGCTTCTGCTGATTCCAAGCTCCGTAAACTTCTGCACTAACAGATCTCCGTGCAGTCATTGCCCTTTTCGGAGGTGGCGGGAGCTCATCAACATCATCATCTTCATCGCTTTCTGCAGACTTCCGCAGCTCATGCTCCTCGCCAGTAGTAATGAAAAGTACAAACAGATCGAATTTAATGGGTTTAATGAAACATAGTGAGACATCTCTGTTTAAATGGCAGCATCACGTTCAAGTCACATGGAGAAAGAATTATACTTCGAGAAGAACACCTCCATCTGCCTCAAACTCCCTGCAGGCAAGGGACCAGCTTTTGCAGACTTGAGATTTCAGCCCGGAGTTGCTCATTGATTATGCTCAGGGATCTTGGATCCGGCTTCCGGCCAGCTTCTTTGGCTAGCCTCGGGTCTCACGTTCTCCTCACATTCTCGCATTTCTGCAGACAAACGTTGCAGTCTGACAGTAGCAAAGACACTTTCCATGTGCTCCATAGTCAGTCTACCCCCTTTAGCCCTTGTACCAAGCCACCAGTCGATCAAGAAATCCATGAGATTTTTGGGTTTTTTCCGAAGCACTGCATGAACCATGCGCTGGATCACTGGATCCAGTTGCTCCAGGATGTAGCGCTCCTGTTCCTGACGAAAAATTTGAAGGTGACCCGGTGACCCAAGGCCCAAGTTGGGCCCAGTTCGTTGAGTCAGTTGAGTCAGTTGAGTCCAAGACCTCACCTGTCGACGCACCGACTTCCACGACTTCCGCAGCCAAGGTTCGTCCATTGTACTCTGCTAGTGCCAGCGTTGAACGATGGGGGCCTTGGAGCTCGACAGCTCTATCGAAAATTGCCATGACATATGTTTAAAAAAAACACATGTTGTGGCATGTTGTGGCAGTACATGGCAATGAAAAGTCACAACACAAGCCATAAACATGGAATCAAAGTACAACACCAGGCCATGCAGAATCTGCCCTCCCTCTTGTAGGACTTGCCGTGAGGGCCATGGCTCGGAGGCAGCAAGCATCAGCTGGGCCTTCAGCTTCAAGTGATTTACTGGATCATACTGGGCTATGGGATTTGAGTGAACTTTGGGAGAACATTGATGGCTGCCACTGGAGAGTGTTGCTTTAAGTTGCTTTGTTGCATAGAATGTATAGTATAGGTCTTGAAGTGTGATGTGTTGGCGACTTGGCTCAGAGAGCTGGGAGGTCTAAGCGGCTTTGCAGAAAATCATTCACATCGCCCATAATATCTTGGAAAGCACCACACTGCGGATTTTTGCCCGAAAATCGCAGGCTGCTCTGGTGTGAGCACTGGACGTAGGGGATCACCATGGATCACCCGTATCAAGTATCGGCAGTTGATCGTAAAGAAATGGCACCTTTTTCGTGGTCGCGGGACAAACATGCTCCTGTGCCTGTTTTTGTCAGTGCAGCTTGGCAATGCACAGCCTCTAACACTTTGGCTATCTGAAGCTCAGGAGATGGTTCTGCTCATTGCTGTCACAAGAATTCCTTGGTAAATCATCTGGTTGTTTCAATCACGAACTGGCCTCTAAAATGTTCCACAGAAACAACTCGCCCAGCATTACCACCACAGTGGCAATCATCATACAGTATACAGTACATGAACCACACATGACCCGTTCAGAAAAACCCAAGCTTCGTAACAGGGAAAGTTCACAGAGCTCCCCCTAGCAGCTTTCAATGCGGCGACCCAAAAGCACACAGCACCCGCCAGACCCTGGCGGTTTTTCGTGGAGCAGTGGTTGATCGGGTAAGACATGGGAGTCACCAGCCTCAAACAACGAATAAGGTCTGTCTGCTTCAGGGAGAAGGTCGTCTTTGTGCCTCAAAAAAACACCAGAAATGAACTGTGGAAAATTTCTGGCTGGGGAGTGGTCGAGCCACAGCACACAATATGTTGATTTGGATCATCATCGTCGTCATCATCATCATCCTCCTCATCCTCATCCTCATCCTCATTCTCATCCTCCTCATCCTCATCCTCATCCTCATCCTCATCCTCCTCCTGATCCTCCTCATCCTCCTCATTCTCCTCATCCTGATCCTGATCCTCATCCGCATCCTCATCATCCCAAGTAGGATGGATGAGTGCCAAACCTATTTGATTGAAACCAAGTATGTAGTTGGGGTGATGCTTTACCAAACAAAGTACCAAGCAACACGTGCACAACCTCAAGGCTTCCAAGTGCCAAGCTCAATAGCAAACACCGCAAAGTGCAGCGCGCGATTCAGCCACAGCTCTCCTGGCCGATTGCATCAGTTTCTGGATCGCTTGAGGTTCCATCTCCTCTCCCCTGATCACTAAAACATACTACAGTAACTCCAAAGAGACAGAAAAGTGTTTCCGGGATATTATAGATTATGTTATGTATGATTATGTGTCCTCCATTAATTCAAGGTGTCCATCCAACGTTTCTTTTTTTTGCGAACATATTTATTGAAAACAGTTAAAAACATTCACCGACATTGCAAAGCGAGCACGATATACCTGGGTGAAGCTTCAGCAAGGCAAAGCCATTGCCAGGAATTCCATGGCAAAGGCCCAAACCCTTTCGCAGCAAGCCCCGGATCCAAACCTTAGATTTTAGCAGCATGTTTTAGCAATGGTGCCGGTTCTCAAGTTCCATGGTGATACAACTCTTGGGTTGAGTTTCAATTTCTTTGGCCAAAAAGACCTTACAACCGGCTTCAATTTGTCAAGGCTCGCACAGTTTGGCCAAATTGTTGTGCGAGCTCCTTGTGGTGAGAATCCTTGGAGTCTGTTGACAAACCTGCCGCTGTGGCGGTGGAACTTACTGGGCGCCGCGTTCCAGAAACAGGTCAGGATGGCGCAGGGCCAAAGAGACCATCCCCGTTGCTCCATGACAGAATTGGACCAGTCGATCCTGACCATTTTGGAGTCTATTGGCTGCTATCGGTTTTGCTGGTTGCTTGAACTACCATCAGCCAGCAAGAAAACAATGGGATGTGCCCAGCCTTGCTGTTTCCCAGAGATGAAGGTAAGTTGCCGCTTCTGAAGCGGCAGTCCTTCTCATGGCCAGGGGGAGGTACGAAAAAGCTAGCAGGACGCTACTAATGTTGTACCGGAGACTGTTCACTGCAAGAGTAAACTGATGAACTGGTGACAATGATGAGATGGTGACGATGATGATGATGATGATGATGATGATGATGATGATGATGATTCATGATGATGATTCATGATGATGATGATGATGAGGATGAGGATGAGGATGATGATGATGATGACGACGACGACGATGATGATGCTGCTGCTGGTGGTGGTGGTGGTGGTGATGGTGATGATGATGATGATGACGACGACGACGACGATGAGGATGATGCTGGTGGTGGTGGTGGTGGTGGTGGTGATGGTGATGATGATGGTGATGATGATGATGATGATGAGGATGACGATGAGGATGAGGATGAGGAGGAGGAGGAGGACGACGACGACGACGATGACGACGATGACGACGACGAGAACAATGATGATGACAATGCTCCTAAGAAAGATGAAAATGAAGAAGGCGAACATAAAGACTAATAAAGACGTAGAAACCTGTACCTGCCCCAAAACCACCTGATGGTCATGCAGATGCTGACGATGAATACTGAACATAAATTATTGAGATGATGACCCTGTACTTGAACGCAACCCATCCAGGGTCCAGGGGGGGTCCAGGGGGACCAGGGGGGATTGAACGGGCCGAGGGGAGGTCTAACCGTCTAACCTGAAAGTTTCAGGGTTTCATACGGTTTCCTTGCCTCGGCCTGGTGCCTGCCTTTTCCTTGCAAAAGCAAGAGCAACGTCAGCTAGCACAAACTAGCTTTCGTGATCTGGCGCTCTCTTGTCCCGCTGATGTTCTTATTCTTGCTGCCCATCTCTTCAAATTTCAACTCCAGGTTGAACTTGTTACTAAAATGAAAAACTCACAGCTTCGAGGGTAAAGCAAGATTGGCTGAGGACGCAATGACTGAAACTGCCCGAACCCCCTTGTTGCCCAGTCCATCAGCTTCTCTGCAGTGGTACGAACCAGATTTGCAGCGTCAGATCCGGCCTGCAGAAGAAGCCGAACATGACAAACTCCCAAAATTCGTTTGATATGGTTTGAGTGAAAGATTGCAGGATCCCACTTGTTCATTCATACTTGTTCCATCCTTTCCTGCATCAACAGCATGGCAATGTAACGATGTAGGTTCTCATTGAAATCCACTCTGTAATGGATAGCAATGGATAATACTGGATGATAACAGACCCCAACAGAGTTGACACCCTTGGCAAGTCTTGATGGTCTTACTGAGTCTTACTGAGTCTATGACCAAGGCCAGTTCAGCTGGAAGTTGCAGCAAGGTGTGAAGGATGCCAGCTATACCATGGGCAGCTCCCAGGTAGCATCTGAGGCGGGGTCCACCAAAAGAACGACTGCACTGCCATTCCAGGAGACATTCTGCGGGTTCGGCAACTTGTGTCATATTATATATATATATACACACACACGTTTGCTCTGTTGAATTGACTAAGTCTCGGGCTTTTCGTGCCATTCGTAGTACAATGGCCAGCCATCCCTTGCTTGCCGCTGTCCTTTCAAGAAAGGGAGAAGGAAAGGTAGTTGCACAAAGACAAAGCGTACTACAGACCTGTCGTGATGACTTGCCGCACCAATTCTGCAGCGGGAGCTGCCAGCAATCTTGGATCCTTCCAAAAACACCAATGCACAATGCACAACCTCCCTGCCCACGCCATTGAAACTCTCAAAAAGTGTTTCCGCGGCACCAACCTCCAAGCGCTGCCGCACAAGAAGTACTGCCTCAGCTTCCCAAGCCTACCCGCCTAAACTTCCCTGCTAAGGTGATGCTCACGACCTGTGTCGGGGCCGACTCCAAGTTGCAGGCGCCAAGAAAACCACATCGGCCATACAGCACTTCGCACTCACCGTCCGGCAGAGCAGTAGCACCTCGCAGAGTATCTTGCAAGATTTTCTTGAAAATGATAAATCATCAGAAATCATCAGAAATCTTGCATTGCTCTACAAGACTTGGGTTGTTTCCCTCAAAGTCAATCTATTCTTCGTAACGAAAGGATTGACAGTCCGTCTTTGAGCACCCGGCGGTCAGCAAGTTGAGAGAGTCTCCTGCAGCAAGGCGTCCAGCTTGAGTGATGCTTCTGGCCCGTGACCAGTTTAACCGGTGCTTTTAGCAACCAAGCCACTTCCTGACACCACTGTTCAGAAGTTGAGAAATCAAAGAAGCCGAACAAGTGCAGGCATATCGTCCTGATGCATTGCTCTTCCAAAGCATGCCTTTTTTGTCAACAGGCATGCATGCATGTTTTGAAAAATAGACTACATTGTGACTACATGTCCCCTCTCGTATTATCAAAGCTTTCTTCTGGCTCTATCTAGAACGTTCTTTCTATCATCTCTATCTTGTCTTCCAGTTCAAACTGGATGCTCTGAGCATCATTGAGCATTCCTGTGTTCAAGTTGGTGATCTGATCTAAGCTCTTCACTGCTCAAGGACGTTGTGAGCCCAGGCCTGCAAAAACTGAGCTAGGGCATTTTGTTTCCATGCTCAAGTCACCCAAACGCATCCTGGGAAGCCCCAAAGACGCAGGGTCTGCTTGCCTTCAGAGCTACGCAGCCCGCTTGTCCTTCTAAAAGCGTCACCTTCACGGGAAAGAAGAAACGGATTGAAACAGTGGAGTTATCGAAAGAAAGGAATCCGTTTTGAGGCACGAAGTGTGTTGGTACTAATCTGCTGGCTTGCAGTTCTTCAGGCAATCTCACGCGGCAAGAGCAATGCAGGAGGTGAAAAGGACTTTAACAAACTCGACTCGACATCCCCCAGCCCGGCCCGCCGGGGATCACATGCTGCTTCTGCCTGAAAGCAACGAAAGTTCCAGGTTGCAGGCAGGTTGCAAACTTTTTTTTAAGTTGTTGAACACCTGTGCAAATTTCAGACTTGAAAGTAAGACTTTTCATCTTAGAGCTGGAAACCCACCTCTTCCAGTCTGCGCAATGCTTCCCGACAGGCAGCTGGAGGATCTTCGTGCAAGCCTCTGGAGAACCCCCACTGGCATAGAGGCTTCTGTTTTGACATTCATAGCACGAAAGCAAGGGACCTGAGGTTGCCAAGTCAAGAAGCACGTAGGCAACCCCAGCCTCAACTGGGACAGCTACGAAGCTGATCCAGAGTAGTCAAGGGCAGACACAGCGCAATGGCTGTCGAGTCTTCTGAGCTTTGAACCGCTCCTGTGTAGACCTGCACTAACGCCACTCTTGCCATCAGCTGCCAACAGTCTATGGAGGAGGTTCCCTCCAAGGTTTGTTAAAGTGTGCACATCCTAGCATGAACAACTATACTCGGGTCACGCAAGTACAGCCTCTGTATTTTCGACAATCTGAGGCCAAAACACTGCCCTTGCTGTGGCTGGCTTGCAGCAGATCTACTGTTCCATCTGTGATTGCCCGGAGAAGCTTTGCCTGCACCGCAGTGTGCAATGACTTGGCACTTTGCTAAGTGGATCCAAGCACCTCCCAATCAGCAGGTGGATGGTTGTCGTCCATGACGTTGCGGAAATGTCTGCCATCCTCTGCAAGACTTTCAGGATTCTGTTCCAAGATCATTCAGAGCGGGGAAACACTTCTCACCTCAACATCCATAACTTTGCCCCTGAACACTCAGAGTGCCGCTGGCATGGCAAGCATTTGTTGTACTGCAGATACCTTCATGCTGGTCCGAGCTTCTTCCTGCTGGGTTTTTGGGTTTGTGTGTTTGCAGCATAGATTTCTGTCTGCTCTTGTATGTTTGCATCTAGTCAGTTTCCGTAGGACAAAGCGTTTTTGCTAAAAACTGCGCAAGAAACGATTTTTCAGGCTGAAGCGAGCCAAATCCTGTTGTAAGTTCCTTTTGCGTCTAGCAACTTTGGTGATGTTCAAAGCCTTCGGTTCAGATGCAAATGCAGCGAATCAAATTGGACAAGGAAGAGTGTACCAGCTGTGTAACAAAAGGGAGCACCAGGACAATACCGAAAAAAGTAGCACAAATCCCAATGCAAAGCCTTTTGTCCAGCTCCTTTCAGCTTGACTCAGTTGCTTTCTGAAAGCGCAGGATGAAGAGCTCCTCCATTCCGCGCTGTTCTTGTTTAACCTTCTCTGCAAGAAACCCTAAGGCTCGTCCATTCTCAAGCAACTCTTCGGGGTCGTTCTCGGCAATGCAAACCAAGTAGAATAAACCTCTATTTGAGAGAATTCGTGCAACTTTGGGCATCAAAACATCAATGACTTCACGACCTCTGCTTCCCCCTGCCCAGGAAACTGAAATTCCACAGCCCTGCATTTCATCTTCATCCGTGGGGACATATGGTGGATTGCAAATGACCACGTCTGCAAAGCCGCTTTGACGCAAGCAGTCTGTTAAGGATCCTTGGATCACATCTGCCACCATCACCTCTCGCGCCTGAAAAACGGCTGAAGTGCACCGGGCGGCCGCGGGATTTTTGTCCACCGCCATGAAAAATGGGAGAACTTTGGCATCTTTGGCTCCCTCAACTTTCAAAAGCTCTGAAAGCCCAGCACTCACAGCCCCTGATCCAGGTCCAATTTCCAGGCAAACCATCGACTTCGAGAGCAAACTGGCCGAACTCCGGCAAAGTAGCGTTATGTCACTTGCCAGAGCCTCCAGCAAGAGGAAAGTGTCATCACTTGGGGGGTAAACTTCCAAGCCAACCCGTGCTTTGCAGGCATCAATGACGTCGGAAGCCCAAGCTGGAGGAGGGCAGGCGGGTTCAGGATCATCGATGTCATCATCCATTCAGAAGCGATTGCTCGAGACTGATACTCGTTATCAAGCAAAGTCTTGTTTCAGGAACTACGTGCAAGTGATTTATTGAAATATTGAATCTGACTTTGGAGCTGCAACGAAAATAACACTTATGTAGAGAAGCTTGTCTCAATCAAGTGCAACCAAACAGTTTCTGTGCTGTGACAGTCAGTAGCTCATGTCCAGCATAAATGTATTCTCAGCGAGCCCATACAGCTGCGCATACTGTGTCACTTTGTTCGATGGCTCAGCATGAAGGGAATCTCATGGAATCTCCCCAAATTCGACGAAACTCCCAAGTTGGACTGTTTGTGTTTTTCATTTTTGCTCCGAGCAGCGCTTTGCGCTTAGCGCATCTAAGGTACAACAAGACCCTTTTTTTTGCTCAAAGAATTCAAGTTGCACGGTGCGCATCAGAATCAACATGAATCAACTACATGATGTAGACTACATGTCAAATACAGCAGTTTTATCAAACTGTCAAACTGTTTTTCTGGAGACAAAGGAATGCAAATGAATGCCGCACAGATACGGCGCGTGCCGTCGAAAATGCCGTCGACTGAACTCTCCTATCGCTGTCTCAGATGAATACGCCCAACTTCCTCGGTGACGTTGGGCGTTTTGGTCCTACACCCTCCACCATTGGGAGTCAATACTTGAGTCATTCAATGTTCCATGTGTGGCATCGTCCATGGAATATGGATGTATATGGTGTATGGTCACCATCCCACAATGGGAATCCAAACATGATGGGCTAATACAAGCTCTGAATCTTGCAGCTCTGCATACAGAAATGATACTAGTGTATACTAGTGTAGACATGTGTATACTAGTGTCGTTTTCCTTCTCTGCTCTCAAGGCCTGCAGGCCGTAGGCTTTCAAGGCCAAACTAGGGAAACCCACAAGATCTCCTTGGATCGATGAACCAAAGTTGCTGGGGCAGTCGGCAGTCCCGAAATTATGTACATGGGAGCTGCAAGTGATGCTTACAGCATACGAGCTCAGCAGGAACTGCCACTGCCACATCAGCTCTCATCTACCACCATAGGTATCAGCGTAGAAGTTTGTCTGCGCAAGGTCCACAGTCCTCAGTTGACCAACATGGAGTCTTCACAAAGAAGCAACCGACACACGAAGGATTGAAACCGCAGAGAACCCAAAGCTTGGTCCAACTAGACCTGTCGCCCAAGCAGCATTCCCACAATATCTGGAACGTCTGACACCGTTGCCCAAGTAAGATCCTCTCAAGTTAAAGTCTCCAAAAAAACGAAGTACAGTATCAGGCTCTAAATGCTGGAATCGGAAACCAATCACAATCTGATGTTGTATTCGGAAGGAGCAAAAAAAACACCAATCACAATCATGTCAGCAGTGGAATCTGTCAAATCAGCTGCCATCTTTGGCCAATCTTTGGCTCCTTGTGAGTATCGTACATGAACTTCCAGCAAAAAGGAACATCCAAACCTCGGTGGCGGACTTTGCAGACAGCATCAGCGGCCAAAGGTGACCCCTCTGCGGATGCTGAGTTGAGCGGCACAGGCTCGAAATGTAGCCTGCAATGGTGGTATTTAGAATGGCCAAATAGTCCACTTCCTCAGAAATTGGCCATGGCTGAAATGGAGAAATGGAGAACGCTTGCGGGTGAAACCTTGAAAAGAGTTTGAAGGAGGATGATGACAAAGCAAATACTGTAACCCCAGCCTTGTACAGTCATGTTTGAATGGGAACGACGAAAGTTGTGTGCAGTGGCTTTGTTTTTTTTGCGAGACAAGCTTCTGCCCAGTCGACGATAATCTGCTCCGGGATAATACCACCCAGCTCTGGGTTGTGAGACACGTCAAAGACCTGAAATCAAATCGATCAGTCTGATGTCACTCTGTTCAAAAACGACTTCTTGTGGTGTGACTGTGCTGCAATTGAAATACTGGACTCCTGGAATTGTTGATCGCAGAGCAAGTCTGAATCTTCTAGGAAGCAAATTCAAAGACGGAATGAGAGGACTGACATTGGACAGTGCGTGACGTTGCACTGCTTGTCATCGGCAATGTCCAAGCACCGCACTCGGATTTTATTCATTGGCACAATGTCCTCGAAAAGTTTGGGCACTGCTTTGCGCTCTCAAAACCCTTAAAATGACATGGGAAGACTTCCATATCTTCGACCAGGCCTGAGTGATGCTACCCTTCAAACGGTTGTACTGCAAGTGAATAATCCTTGGAAAGGTCACAGCCAGGAAGCTGGCTGTGGATTTCTACAACCCATCAGATCCATCTAAAGCGGAATCCTTCACAGTGTCAGCTTCGAAAGGCTGGGCTTGGCACCGAATATTTCGAAGCTGTCCCATGTCAGTAGGAAACTCATCCTCCAACGCACAACATCACACAATATCTTGTTAGGAAAGGACTTGCGCAACCACTTTCAAGCGAGACGTCCGAAACAACATCCGCAAGGATTTGTCACTGGCCATTGGTCCTCTATCCTGTTGTTATCGAGCTCCAAGGTGTGAAGCCTCAAACCATAGACCCCGTTGATCCCTGTTGAATGATACAGAAATCGATCATGGCCATCATGGCCATCATGGCCATCATGGCCATCATGGCCATCATGAGATCCTCTCAGATCCTTTGAGCCTCTGACTTCTGAAATCGGCTCAGGTAGATCGGTAGATTCCTGCAGACCATGGATCAAAATTCATTCGGAGCTCACCTTTGGTTCAAAGTCTGCAAAGCAGCGGAGCTTACTGAGCTTACCTCAACAAGTTTCGGCTGGCACTCAGAGATCTGAGCGTGTCGGCGTTCAGGTACAAATCCTTGGAGTCACATCTCTGTCATGGCTTTGCTGTGTATGGCCTGTATGGCTCAAAATTATGGATCTCCACGTTTGGAGAGTAAAAGTTGTGTGGACCCACTGGTGCTCCATTTTTGAGTCATAGCCAGTCATAGCCAGCTTCAATATGCTTCAATACAAAGGCTGGCACCGCTGATGTTTTCCACTGGGTGCCGGGCATCTGGCAAACGGAGAATGATGTTCCCAGAAACCTCCAGCTGACTCGATCACCGTCAGTTGATGGACCTCTCTCAGAGATGTGTCGGCCTCTATCTCTTCGAGCTGGAAGCATAATGCCATGGACGGCATCACCCCTTCCACTCGATTCATCTCGTCGTTTGGGTGCCTTGACTTCAAAGATTTCAAAGTGCACTAAAAAAAACGACTTGTGATTTTGGGGATCATCTATCCTGCTGTGTCAAAAGCTTTGAGCTGTGAAGCAGATTTAGGTCAAGGTGTCAAGGTGCAAATGATAGTCAGGTTCCGTCGACGCAAGGTCAAGCTTGATCAATGAAGTCAATGAACCTTCCAACTCCCAATTCTCAGCACACAATCGACTGAGTCTACCGGACCTCTAATTAAAATAATGAAATGGCTTTCTGACCCTTCGCTTCGCCGCACTGACTTTGGATCGACTTGTCCACCTGCCTAGTGTTGATGGAAGGATACCGCGCACCCTGTTGTCGGGAAGCTCTAATTTGATCACCTCGAAAGAGATGTGTAGTGAAGCCAGTGAAGCCAGTGAAGCATATTTTCATCCTTGTCATACAATGTGGGCAGCTGAGGAGTGCACGTATCCATGCTCATTGCATGTTACGCCATACCAATAGTCCCAACAAGGGTCCGTTTCCTGTCATGTCAAGCAACTCCACAAAATGCTGAGTGCAGATGTAAAGTGCTCCCTATTCATTAGTTAAGGGGTGTTCATGGAGCTGTTGCTTCATATGCTGAAACTGTCCATGTTATGCATGCCGTTGCTGCATCATTCAATTTATGTAGTGATTGATTTGCTGTCTCTCCGTCTATAAAGCAGCATGTGTGTAGAGTTCCTCTTCCATCTCTTCCTTTTTGATCATTCCTATCATCCCTCTTCCTGCTCTCCCCCTCCGGTCAATCTCGTCCACGTTCTTTGCCCACCTTCTTTTAGTCCTTGGCATGCTTCCTTCTTGCTCCTTGATTCCTTCACCCTCTCCTTCCTTCTTTTCCGTTCTACTTCGTTTTTTTTCTTTGTTTTCTTCCCCTGATTAATTGTTCGCCCTCTGTTATCCCTGCTTCTTTGTTATTTGTTGCTTTTCAATGTTCTTCCGTCTTCCCCCTTATATGATCTGCCCTCTTCGTCCTTCTTCTCCCCACCCGTCTTCCTCTCCTTTTTCTCCTTCTGCTTCTTCTGGTTCTTCGTTCCTTGTCCTTTCCTGTGATCTTTAAAGCTTCGCGTCTGCTTGCCTTCACTTCTTTCTCTCTGCTATTGGTCCCATTGTTTGATTCCATGCTCGCGTTCCTATCCTTCTTCCCATGGTGAGGACTTGCGCCGCTGTTGCTTGTTCTCTGGCAAAGACTGTAGACCCAGATATTGTAGGAACAGAATGTGTCATACCTTGGATTGGCCTCCGAATTGCAACGGCACAATCATATATTTGTTCATATTTGCTGTGCTGGATAAGCAGTGTTGTTTTTGTACGGTGTACGCATATTTGTGAAAGCACAAGCCTTGAGCCCAACATACAAAAATTTGCACCAGAAATTCAAACCCAATGACCATCCCTAGAAAATGGCCGATAACGCCGCGGGGCCCGGGTCCGCCAAACTCTGCCAGAAGCACCGGCATCCAATTGTCGTTGTTGCGCCAAAAGTCGCCTGGGCAGTTCAACCAACTGGACCAATTCGAGTGACAAAGAAACAACGGGACTGGTGGACCTGGTGGACTGATGCGAAAGTTTAGCCATCGAAAAAATTGGACATTGGGGATCATCATCATCAAACCAAAAGATGTTGAACTGTGTAGCCTCCGCACAAGTTGTAGAACTCCAGAAGCGCAGCTTTCTCTGCTTTCCGCTGGAACTCGTTCTGATAGGACTGGTCGTATGCCCGAGCATATTGGCACCCGTAGGGCCTCAGAGGCATCACATAGGGATGGTACAGCAGATACAGGAAGCAGAAGAAGTTGGAACAAAAGACAACTCTGGGATAGTTGCATGTCCTGCATCGTGGTGTAGTAGCATGAGGTTTCCTGGCACCGAAATGATCTTACGCAATTTCATGCAACCACATAATTTGCTTTTGCACCATACTTCAATGCACAGCCTTGCACTGATCAAGATGATCAAGTGACACGATGCCCGGAAAACAAATCATACCAAAAGTCCAGTAGGAAACAGATGAAGCATGGCAAGTGCACGATGGAAATGGACTTGCGTTGGTTTCTGTGCCACCTGGCAATGACAAACATTGAATCATTGAATCATGGATTCTGGATCAATAATCAATAATCAATAATTCTGGATCAACATGGTCAGCCAAAACACGAAACTTCACTGAGCACAGCACGAGCCGTCTGAGACCAGGAGCTGTTCATCGTCCGTGATACCCCCAGCTGCTTGCGACAGCTCAAGCCTCAGGTCATCTGCCCCCAGCTGCCCATCCCCCTGTTTTTCATGGCTAAAAAAGACGTCCCCCGGTCTATTGATGGTGTTAAATATGTGATGTTAATTAATGTTACAGTAATTACAGTAATTAGATGTTAATTAATGTTACTAAAACAGGTGATCAAAAATTTCTGTTCCAATCCCCGAGGAACATCGAGGCCACCAATGGGCACAGGATCCATCTCATGGCCTCCTTGCCACGGCAAAGGCCACACGGCTAAGGGACCATCGCTGAGATCAGAAACGCTATTCTGTTTCGAGATAGGCGATCTTTGCAGCTTAACATGGTGCTGAGATTTGGTGCTTGCTTTACTCTGTTCCCTTCTTGGATTTGAGCCATATAGAAAGCTGGCAAAATGCAAGAGTCGATGATTGACATCTTGATGATATCAAGAACTGCTTTGTCAGCCTGGGAAAGTTAGCAGCCACTGAGGAAGCAGCATCATGCAAGCCACAAGGGACAGGTTGATGCAAATGCCACAAATCCTCAGTGCAACAACTCCGTCACAGCCGAAGTGCGGCAACGGCTTCTTTTTCAGTCAAGCTGCAACTGGGCCATGTTTCCCAGGTCTAGCCACTGGCACAGGGAGCGAAGTTGCCAATGCATCCAATGCAAGCACCGATGTAAAGAAAGGGACTTCGTAATTTCGTAATGTCAAGGACTCAGTCGGACTCAGTGAACACAAATGATCGGTTCGAAACGAAGAGTTGAAGCTAGTTGAAGCTGGACACCATCTTCAAATAGACACGCCAGCAAGACGGGACCACTGAGTTTCGTCTTGTCCACGTGCATGGCAACACCTTGGCAACAGACTACGGTCCTACGGTTCCAAGTTCCACCGCTGCGACCCATTTTGCATCCAAAGTACGGTGTCTGTGCAAGTTGGCCTTCAAGTTTCTGCGGTATGCAGTAAGTGATGACCTGCAAAGCGATTGAAACCAGAAACCATGAAGTGATTTCAGCCAATGAACAAGTCTTGTCCTCAGAATCCTCAGACTACTTGAAAACGCAGCAAAAAAAAGAACGTGAACACACCGGCCCAGAACTCGGCCTTGCAGTTTGGCTTAGTGCAGCCTGTCACTCTTGAGATCTCTTGAGTCTGGAGTCGCTGACAGCTGTTGAGGTGTTGTGGTGGTGCGCCTCATGCTGTCGCCACTGCTCCATTGGTTGGAAGCCATCGCCTTGGGGCCATGGCGATGCTGCCAGGATGCTGCCGTGTCAGCGACTGGCGATGCCAAGTGACTAGTGATGCCGGAGCCTGGTGCTACCTGAGTCCACTGATCGGCTGTCTGCTATCATGCTATTCCTGTTCCAGTCCCATACGTAAACGTTTTAATACACCTGGTTGAAGTTCAGTTAGCTGTCTATTCAAAATGTGCAATTGGTGCCCTTCGACAAGTTGGTGTTAAGGTTCCAGCGAAAACGCCAGCAGGACGTTTCAGCACCACAGTGTGCGCTGCAACTGAAACAAGGTCACGTGAAAGTTCTGTGTAGAATTCATCGCAAAGCATGACAAGTAAGTCTACCAAACATAACACATGTAAGCTTGATACCATGAGCACTCAAATCTAGAGACCGCAAGTCACACGTGGATCTCTAATGGTCTCAAAATGATCAGTTTCGCTGCTTACCACTTGATCCGTTGTTGCCTGGCAGCAACACTAGGCACCAGCCACGCATGGCATACAAGGGCTCGCGCTGAACCCCACTGGGATTCAACCACTTTCAGGTTGAACCCCAGCTTGGATGAGCCAAACATACGGCCACATAGAACCGTCAGGACGGTGAAAGATTCATTAGACTCTTTTTATAGATAAGGCGTATGAAGTGTATGAGATGTGAAGCGTTCACTTCTGGAGAAGACTTGATGCATGATGGACTGAAACCAATCCACTGTTCTTGACCCAGTTCTTCCAACCCAGTTTTTCCAGAGACACGCTCACTACAACCAATGCCTGGTCTGCTTTGCAGACACTCACAGGTCGAAAACCATCACAAGTCCCAGCTTTCCGTCTTTGAAAGGGATTCAATTGGAAACGCCAATAAGACACGGATGCAATCAAGTTCCTTTTCCTATCCACGCCTTTGTTGGATTCACATTCAACCAAGGAAATGGCGCGTGTGGCCCAAGACACCTCTGTGTAGGTGAGCCTTGGGTTGACAAATGCAATCCACCAAGCCACTCATCAGAGCAGATGTCGGAGCTTGCCGCTGAGTAGCTGGTACGCCACAAAGCCTAGACACAAGGTAGGCTTTCCCTGTGTCTTGCCTGCATTGAAGTACGTATATGTAGGGATCCCATCCTGTGATAGCTGAATCATTGAAAAACAATGTTTTTTTCGAAAACACAAATGTGCTCCCAAAAGAATGATCTACATGATACATACATATATATATATATACATATCATTTATCATATCTGAATCATATATCTATTTCGTAGATATTTCACCAAAATATGACCCCTGAATTGGTTCAAGTCCAGGGGACCACACGCAAACAGATCCTCCACATCCGCCTCGGTGAGGCCACCTTCATGGCCTCATGCTGCAGAAATGGATCAGAAAAAACAAACCTATGGTTTGATAATAATAAAAAATATGGTTTAATGAAGGTTCATTCTGGCGATTTATTGATAATCAGGGAAAAAAAACTTGGTTTGTCAACGTTCAATAGATCAAAGATCATCAAAAACATTCATCAAAACCTGATTCGAAGAATTTTCGACATGTACCGTACATGCTTCAAGTCTTTCCTGGTGAGTTGTTGTTGAAACCACACCTGTTGCGAGCTGCTTGAAGCAGTCCTGCGAATTCGCACCCATTTCTTCCAGCCATTTTTTTGTAGTCTGCAAGAACCACCAACAGCAGAAACAATCAACAAATCAACAAACACAACTACAACCAACCACCGCGACCCCTCTTCCTACCTTTGCTATTGATGTCGAATGATGTCGAATGATTCTGATTTTGCTGCATGTATCAGCATCTCTGCTTCTCTGCAACTCTCAGGCAGCATGGGTTTTCAATTTGGCTATACTACTATACAGTGGCAGAGCACCTTTAGATGAGAAATCATTGCTTGATTCAAAAAAAAATAGAAAACTGGTGTGCTGATTTCAAAGCTAAAGAATGTGTGAAAAAGCCGGTCCTTGGAACAGGTGCTCTGTGCGCCCAGTGCTCTGAATGCACTTTGCAGCGCCTCTGGATGAGGCCCACAAAGATCCTGGAAACAAGTGAGATGATGATCAGTTGAATCAATGATCAAAGGATGATTATTATTGTTATTAGATTATTATTCATCATATCAATGATCATGAAATATCATGAAAATGAAAAATTCTTATTGTTATTGTGATGGTTATGACTTGATGATCAGCAGGATTTTCCAATCGTCCGACAGTCGAGCTCGTGCCGACGTCCGACACGACATGCAACGCTCCTGGCCAAGATCTACAGCATTGATCAGCTCAGGTAGTACCTCAGCAAAAAACCAGCAGGTCCGATCGCTTCCTACTGATTCAATCTGAGGTGGAGAACCTAAACCAGCAGGTCGCAGCGCAGCAGCTCTGAGTATTTGTCCCATGTGCTATTGTGCTATTGTGCTCTATTTGTGTCTGCAAAGTGAAGGGCACCCACTTCTTGTGGTCTGGAGATGAGATGTCCTGACACAGCTCGTCTTGATCTTAGCTGTGCTGTCAATGACCAAAATTTCCAAAACGGAAGTGGCACAGAACGAAAGTTACTTAACATGTCTTTATCTGGGTTGTTCCAGCATGTGTCTTTTATATCAGTTTCTACGCGCTCAAGCTTTCCCAAGCCTTCTTCCTCGGTGCCTCCGTCTGTGCCTGGTTTAAAGTCATCTGACTCTTCGAAAAACTCTCAGAATATGTTTTCATCTCTGCAAATAATCGATGAGCATGAAACCAGATTACATCAGATTAGATCAAGGTTCCATCAAACCACATCACTAAGACATACTAAGACATACTAAGACCATGTCATACATCATGGCCCGAAAATAATTCCCGCATTGCCCTTCGAACATCTCTGGCTTTTTTTGCAGCCGCGTTTTAAGGCCGTGAACCTGCCTCCTTCAAGAGCGTGTCCAAGGCCTCATCCACCAGGCACCAGCCAAGGCCTTGGAAAATCAGCATCCATCGTCAATGCCAATGGAGATCAACCGAGATGAACCGAGATGAAACATGATGAGATTCATTAGACATGATTAGCCATTGAAAAATATATGGAAATCACAAGATAAACATTATGATACAGATAAACAGATTGGTATATACTGGTTTTTGGCCTCTGGTATGAAGTTCACAGTTTGCTCATGTTTGCTCTGGAAAATGGATGATAATGGATGATAAATGGATGATAAATGGATGATAAATGGATGATAAATGGATGATAAATGGATGATAAATGGCATCCCATCGCCCAATGGCCCATTTTAGTTCGATGACCTAGTTTGTTTTAATGGTGATGTTCCATAGCTGCGTTAGATTACCAGGGGTTAAAACGGTTATCTCATGTACAATGGATTGATTGGCCTTTGCCTGTCAAACTTCCATCTGGATCACGACTGTTGCACAGCAGCGAATGGATGAGATCACTTGTGAAAAAGATGTGTAAATTGACGACATATGTGTGAAGATATCGTAGACATTTTTGCAAATGCACTCAAGAACCTTCATGAACATGTTGTCACCCCAATCGGACACTTTGGGTCAAGCATGTTTTCTCAAGCACTTTTATGGCTCAGCTGAAGCCTCTCTTTCGCTTTGCCTGGCAACGCAACATTTTCGATGCAACTCTAAATTCATCTGTCATGCATTTGGATCTCTACAAACTCTGGCCCTTTTTGGAAACAAGCGCGCCCACACAGAATCACACAAACATCGAAAAAAATGAAAGAACATAATGCAAGTACTGAATCTACTAAGTACTAACAACAAGACAATAACTGTTCCTCTTTGGCTTGTCGAACAAACTACGGACCTGAAGTATCCAACAAAGCTTCAACACATTTCAAGAGCAAATCTGTGAAAAGCAGAGTAAACTGCCTTCTTTTCACGAAGTTCTTGTCCAGCTTTCTTCAAGAGTTTATTTTGATTTTCTTTCTGGCGGCGTAGTCGACGGGGCTTGTTGGCTAAATACTCTGCAGCCATTTGCATCGATTCTTTTAGTGCACCTTCCTGGCCTGATTGCATCTTGGCAAAAAACCTCTGCAGGGATCCAAAATCCTTCAGAAATGTGGCCGCGACGCCAGCATCAGCTCCAGCAGCTTTGGTTATTCTGGAGACCCGTTCATCCACACCAGGTTCGTCTCGGAACAGAAGCGGATTCCGGCGCTCTTCCAACGTCATTGCTTGAATCAGCTTCTCATAACCGCTCGGAACAGATAGTGCATTTGAATCTGCCTGACTCATCACAGTGGTGGTGGCAACAAAGTCTTCAAAATTCATCTGCCCAGCAGCAATTCTGGCCTTCACCACCTCTGGGTCATCCAAGGCCATATCAGCAATGATCTGGTCAATCACACTTCTTGAAGCCGATTCCACTGCAGAGGCTCCACTTGCCTCGCTGGGGGTTTGGCTGATTGCATTGACATCAGCTGGTTTCCCCTCGTCAATCTTTGTGACGTTGGGGGTGTCACTGACATCTTCAGTTATCCAGTCCGGCGCTGATTCATATACTGCTCTCCGAAGATGGTGAGGACCACGACTGCTTGAGGTGAAGGCAAGCCTGCCAGCGGCAAACTCAACATTAAAGCATCTGTTCTCAAGACCTCTTGGCACCAAGGTCAAACTGATTGAATAGCTGTAACACCTAATAATTTTACTAATCATGAATGCAAGAACGGCCCGGGCAAAAGCCACTGTTGTCCGCTCCTTTGGCACAGGCCCCAAGCAATCAAGCACTGAAACCATCGAATGGCGAATACTTTTGGCAGCCCACAACTCAGCTTTCTTCGCGCCATGGCTGAACGGCTAAACAACAACCAAAGTCTCTGAGAGAACACCTGGAGAATTACAAGTGCAAAACGAGAAACAACCACTCTGTATGACATTTGCAAGTCTTTTGCTTGAGTTCCTCCAAAGTGTTCAACATTTTCCACCATCCGTTGATCCTTGACAGTATCAAAAACAGGGTGACAGCTGCGGCTACAAATGCAGAATTTCCAACAGCCCAGCGGTTACCCTTCTGTTACCAGCTGCGAGTTTCCAACTGCAGGTGGATTCTAAGTGCTGTACTTCGCAGCCACGTCCGCGCCTCGCAATCGTAGTAGGGTAGGTGTTTGCATCTTCTGCAGTGTATTTGTGTGGTATGTGGTATATCCGGAAAGGTGGAAAGGTGTAAGAAATTGGGCCGAGGAAGGAAGAAATAAATACGCCCGCAAACAGATTGATAGCAATTAAAAGAGTGACCGCTTTCTCGCAAGACCTTGCATCTTTCCTTCATTTTGCGGGGGGGGCCATGACAGTATTACAGTATCCCACCTAGAGTTCCTAAGACATGTGGACAAACGCATTGAGGTGTACTATACACCACAGCCACGCATAAATTCGCGCTTCAGTGCCAGGCCCATGTGATATCTACAGTACCTATCTTCATTTCTTGTAGCTCATGGTTTGAAAACGTCTCAACTAAATATGTTCATCACTTCCCTACAATCAAATTGTTCTGCCTCCTTTTGATTGAGAAAGCCGTCCTTGTCTTTGTCCAGCATTTCCTGAAACCAAACTGCACAGGACTTCCAAGTTATACGGCAATCTGCTTTCTTTTGATATCACTGAGCGCAGGACAAATAGAACTTCCCCTTCGCTCTGGCGCCAGGACGGCTCCTGCGGTCGTTTTTGGTGAGACTGGAAAAGCCAAAGAAAATGCGAAGCAGCGAACAAACAGTTGTTACCAGGTCATCCTCTCCAGCCCCAGACCTTGGCGACTGATGCATCATGACCGTCATGATTAAATCGGGGCAAAGATTCTAGGTGCCTGGCGTCATGGCGGAACAAGAGCACTGAGAGCACGGAGAGCAGGTTGGCTGAAAATGGCAGATTGGATGTGAGAAATTAGCAGATTGGGATGTGCGGATGTGCATGTTTCACAAACAATCAAAAATGATGTGTTCATATGTTTTCCGTGAATCTTTCAAGGTACTGTCAAGCTGGGGAAGACCCCGAATCAGGTTTCCAGATCGAGCCCAAAATTGCAGAGTGTCAAAGCATGTTTCTGAAAGACCCAAGGTGAGCAATACACGAGTAACTTTTAATACAAAAGTGACAGGTTCATGTGCGATTCACAAGAATGAGAGCAGCAACATCTGCACTACTTCTGGAAGTTCCAAATGCGCTATGTTCCTCAGCATTTTGATCATTTTGTCTATGAACATGACCTGAAATGGTCTGGTGTAGGCCTGTAAAGCCATGCTCGCAACACAATGCTTCAAGCATTGCTGCACTGCGACACCTTCGGGCTCTAACAACTGCGACATTGCAGGCTTTGCACTTACTCAGAGCCTGCACAGGAGCCCATCTGCAGAAATATCTGCACAGCAGGTACATGTCAAAGGGTAGGCTGATAGGTGCCAGAACTTCAAGAGATTTATCAATATTATCAATGCTGTCTGCAGACTTGCATCCGATGATAAAGTGGCACTAGATCTGTCATGGACGTTGGGTCCTTACATGAGCCACTGACAGTATTTGTGAATAAACCATTGCACAGGATGGATCATGGCATAACGGCGCAATCCTGCATGCCTTTTCAGCTTGTGGTTGCAATTGCTTTGCTTCACCTACCTGGTTCTACTGGCAAGGATATTAAAAAGAAATCACCAGGTTAGTAGTAGCGAGTTATTAGTAAATACCCAGATGTTTATCCTCAGGATTATTTCCTAACTTATATATGTTCCCCAAATCATCATGTGGGTTCTCTGAAATAGGACACCCCAAAACCATCCACTGCCGAAACATCATGAAACATCATCATTGGGGGGTCAAACACACCCAAAACCAATATTCATTGTATTAAAATTATTAAAATGTATTAACTCCCTACTTTTGATGGTCCAATCCCCATGAATTGCTTGGTGAAACCTCCATGTTTTTGCGGGATCTGCGGATCTCCTCCCCAATTTTTTCGGGGCCTCCTTGCAGCGGTCCGTCGACGCAGCTCCACCAAGGGTGGCATCCGGCTCAATGGGCCGAGGGCTGTAACCTACATGGGGAAATGGGTGGTCGAAATTGGGTCCCTCAATAATTGGAGGGTTAATACAGTTAATACTAAAAATAGACATTTCCATCTGTGGTCCCCTTAACGGTCTTCCATTTTGACCCACAAATGATACCAGGTACAACCAGGTACACATGGAGTGACTAAGGCACTGCCACGTCTTTGTCAAAGAGTCGCCTTGGCGCAATGTAAGCCGTGAAAAAATGAACGTCATGAACGCACTGGCAAAGGAAATCCATGGAAATCCTGTGTTTCACTAAATGAAGCTGTAAAATGGAACAAATGGAACCGCATTCTTTTCCTCTTGCGGAGCTGTTAAAGACAAGTCTCTCTCGTGCCACCCGCTTAACCTCTGGCTGAAGCGGCTTCAGAACAGCAAGTTTGTGCAATGATGACCATCAAAATCAGCAACATTCCAACTCGGACCTCCTCGATGTTTATGGCATCTAAACGTAGGAGAAGCTCTGCAAGCGGGATGCCTGCCACGAAGCTGCCATGAAATTTCTCATGAACTCAGCACTCTCTGCTGCACACCAGTTCAACTAGCCATGCTGTTACGTCGCCCATAGACCAGCAATTGCCGACCAATGTCCTCAAGAGCTGCAGACCAACCCCTCGTTGCAGTTTCACCTAATTTGGAACACAAGAGCTCACAGTTCAAGCTTCCTGGGCGAGGTATGACACAGTCCTCTGCAATCGCGGTTGTTGAATCCAGACTTCCGAAAAGAGTCGTCTTCAACTGTCTTTTTCCTCTTTCCACCTCCAAACTGGCGGGGTTGGTAGGCAATGTGTACAGAAATCCTCGTTTCACCTCTCAAAGCGCCTCCTCTTCCGTCACTGAGAACGCCAAATTACTCACCTGGTTCACACGGTGAAGAAGTGAGAAGAAGTGAGCGGATTTTCTACCCTCATGTCCAAAAAAAAGCTCAACGCCATCAAAAACCTATCACACTTTCCACCATGGTGCTGGTTCCTGAGGATGGAGCTGCAAAGAGCAACTCGTCCAAGTAACCATCCAGTGTGGCTTCGTCGCTTTCACCATAAAATCCAAAGAGCCCCGTGTCCTGCCCGGAAGCGACATGGCTCTTCGGTGCACACATGGCAACCTGACAAATGAAACTGGAGTCACTGATGTCCTCATAAGTTTCTCACTTACAAAACTGCTCATGAAGTTCCCCAGGCTTGAAAACTGCTCATGGTCCACTGGTCCAGCTTCACTGAAATTTCAACAAGATCCCAAGCTCTGCTCGCGCCTTGTAGCAAGTGTTGAAAGCTGAGAAAGACTCAGCCCCTTCGCTTCGACCAAAAAAAAGAGATAAAAAAAATCAAAGCTTCTGAAGGAATCAAGAAAAATTCGCCAGGCCTGGACCAAGGTTTGCCACGGAATTCGTCAGCCTGGCAGAAAAGGGCATTGCGGCATTGCCTTTGCCAGTTTTCCATGTTTTCGTCATCAGAGTCCACAGGCCTATTACTGGAAAGCTTCGCAGGCACCAGTCCTGTGCCCAGTTTCAACAGTTTCAACAGTTTCAACAGTTTCAACAGTTTCAACGAGTGGGGTCGTTGGGCCATTTCCCAAACATCTCAACTGGTCATCAGCGTGTTTCCAAGAATTTGGGATATCGGAAAATAGCTAATGATGAAGGTATCCTATTTTTAGACAAACTCATCGGCCTTCATTCTTCTTGTAGTTGCCAATGATGGACTGGATTACCTCAGGATGTCTAACCGTCTAACCTATCTGGAAAAAGTTGCTGCATCTGGGACTTCAAAGATTTTTAGCCAGGCAGCCATGAAAGTCAAGGAGTCGGGATGCGTCCATGGGACTTGGATCGCATCAACAGTCCACATGTGAAAATCTGAAAGCATCAACATCGACTCAACATCTGGATCAACCTGAGAGGCTTGAGTACTCAGGACACAGCCGCCCTCGTAGCCAACAGCAAAATGAGCAAGGCTTCCCTCCTGCAAAATACATGGATGCAATTCCTTTTACGCCACAAACGCACTTGAAAAAAAAAACATGTACACTGTAACGATCCAGCCTCTTGAGATCTGTACAGCAACTCTGCTCCATAGAAAGCTGGCTTCTCCTGCATTCGAACTCAGTCTGCGCTTTACATTTTCAGCCTTCTGCAGTGCCCAATCCTCCTTTCTCTTCCCGTCGCCTGAACGGAAATGGCCTTGACACAGGACACCATCGAAAAAGCACACCAGGACTGGACACAGAGGCCGGCTGGGATGAATATTGAGGGCCAAGCTAAAGAGCTCTTCGGAATTCCGCACAAGCTCAGCATGGTCCACAGGTCCCGCAGCTGCCACTACCTGATGCGTTGCAGCAGTGCAGCTGGGACAATCATCTTGGGAGTTTTTGAAAAAAAATACCTCCAACTGGGCTAACTAGGCGGCTGCTGTGAGCCATTGCAGACTTTCCAACTGCACAGCAAGATGAAAAAGAACCAAACATCATGCATAAATCAATCAATCAATCAATCAATCAACCCACCCACCAACCAACCAACCAACCAACCAAGCAGCAAGCAACCAATCAATCAATCAGGACCAACAAAATCTGACCGCAAATGTGCCATATACGGTCTCACAGCATGGTAGCAAGGCAACACCCTTCAGGGTCAAGGGCAGATTCAAGTGTTGCAGATAGATAAGAATCATCTTCTGTGTGCTTCCAGCTTCGTTCTGAAAGGAAAGCGGTCAGATCAACCACGTCAAATCCCTGTCGCCGATGCAAAAGGGATGCACAAGTCCAACAACCCGTCGCAAAATCCCATCCTTACACCTTGTGTCCCTTTGATACAACGTCAGAATCCGAGATTCGTACAATGCGTTCTGCGAGGTAGTTTTCCTTCACATACTCCCGCAGATGCTCCTGGGTAATGGACCTTAGCTCAGTAGTCACAAGCTGCCTCTCGACATTGAGCTCTCTTGAGCTCTCAGCTGAATGTTCTCCACGGGCCCCAGGATGGTGTAGCCAAGCGGGCTGTCGTGAAAAGCCGTGAGGTGCAAGCGATCAAAAATGACCTGACCATCGGGCTGTAGAAGCGCAGGATAGATAGATCTGGATAGATTGCCGATATGTATACCAAACGGATACAAATACAGATACTAGTTTCACATTAATCCAAACAGTTCAATATGATACATATTTATGATTATTTATGTGTATATATATATATATCACATGACCTGCAATCCACAAGATTCAAAAAGCATCATGGACAGTAACTCAGTAAAGCTACAGCGGAAAAAAAGAAATGACCCATGGTAGCCTCCTCAGTGGTCTTTTCTACTTCCTCCATTTCTCGAAGAATAACTCCCCTCTCGAAGTCCAGGTGACCCCTGCAAGCACTGTCTGTACCACGACCCTTTGCCAAAACATCCTTGGATACCCTGGAAACAATGCCCCCAAAAGGGGACATAAACCACAACAGGGTTCCAACAGGCTTCCAACACTTGCTCTGGAGGGAGTCTCACTTGAGGCGCAAACTGGTCCAGAGTGGAATGTTGCAGAATGTCTGCCAAAATGTCAACACCTTTGGAGGGCAAGTGCCCTATCAGTTTTCAGAAAACAATCTGACAAGCCAAGTAATGAACCAACCTGTACAGCCTTACCAGGCTCCCAGCCATTTCGCAAGTCACTCTTGAAGCACTTTGCATAGTAGACCTGGCAAAAGTCCATCAAGCAAATCCAAATTGCCTTGAGAATTTGGCATCACCAACTGATGAGCAAAACTTTGCAGAAGCACTGCTTGTTGCAGAGATGCAACGCAGCAACACAACTGGGTTCCTTTGACACCAGAACTCCGCACTTACGCTTGAAAAAACATTGAAACCCAGACCACAAAAGCATCCCAACGAGCCCTGAATAGCTTCTGGTACTCATGTTCACTTGAATGCAGATTTGCAACGCTTCAATCCTACAATTGGTCTAGAGCAGAGTCCAAAACATCCAAAACCTACTGTCATCGTAATCTACTGGTTGATGTGGATCCGCGGAGGTAGCATACACCCGCTAGATCAAGCTAGTATAGCCTGTACCACTGTATCACCACCAGGGAGTTTGAGCATGGCTCATTTACATTCACTTATCACTGTTTCTTGGTGACTGCTGTTGCCATCGTGATTTGTCGCCCTACTCTGCTGTCCAGTTCTGTTCACCTCTAAAGAGATATATCCAGGGCCAATATTTGCCACCGTCAACAAGCTGAATGCCACGGCTTGTTGGCCTTTGTAGCTTGGCAACGTGGCAGAGGCTGTGTCCAATCAAGCCAGCAAGACAGTTTGCTCCCGAGAAGTGTAGGCATTCAAATGCCCTCCCATGTTTTCAATCTCCTCATGAACATTGACATCCCAAAATGATGAGCCAACTTCATCCAACTTCAATGAAATACACAAGACATCATAAGATTCAGCGAACAATCTTGTACTTCCATCCTTTTCCATCCTTTTCCATCCTGAACACACTGTCAATTTCAAGGCCAGGCTCCTGCTCCAACTGGATTCGGTTCCGCTTTTTGGTGCCTTTGAAGGCCATGTGCTCCAGAAAGTGGGCAGTGCCATTGTTCTCCTGTGTCGAACTGTCCAACTTGAAACAACAAACCTTCAAAAGCCAGTGCTTCCACCGAGAAAATTGAATGATTTCTTTGATCAATAGTGAAATAGATTGAGTGGAATCCAGCTGAATCGTCCTTTGTCTCGAATCGGCTTCCGGCATCAATCCAAACCCCAACTGTCACCGTCTCCTGCCGCGTCACTTGAGTGGTGAATCGAAAGAAGGTTGGTATATGTTGCTATTGAATGCTATTGAGGTGTATTAAGTATCAAACACGGAGGCACCACATCCGGTGTGTATTGTGAAGCAACTCGCATCCCACTCGGAAGCCGGGTCACCTGCTGGGAAATCACTGGGAAAGCTCCGAAAACCTGGATCTTGTGACACCAAGGTGCCAAGGTGCCTTGGTTGGTGGTTGCTGATAAGCCGCAAGTTCACCTTGCAAGGAAGACATCCGCCGGCCATTGCACTTCGGTAGTCTGCTCCTTAGCTTTCCATGCTGAAAGATGCTGAAAGGTGCTGAAAGTGCTGACCGTCTGTCTCCTAGAGCAAGGTTGTACGATCTTTTCTTCTGCCTTCACATGACATAGTCCAATGTCAAAATCGAATATTCCGAATAAAGTGTTCAAACACGCGCAAGCCATCTTTCTTCCAAGAGTCTTCAGCAGCCTGCTGAGCATGCTTGCAGGGGCGTCCTGCCTTGTTCTACAAAGCAAAGATGATGTTGGCTTGTACGGCTTGTCAAGCCAGCTGGTGGCTGCTGAAGGCTGGCCCTTTTGTTGACAGCTTGAGGTCCTTTCAAAATATCAATGTGTGTTGACTGTATAGATGGCGACGCATGGCCATGTGATTGAATCTCTCGTCTGCTCAATCTGCCCTTATGATGCTCATGGACATGGTTTCCAGCTTGATGGTGCTGCGATAGCCAGAGATGCTTCACTAGTGCTCTCACAAGGTGATTCTAAACCACAACGGATTGCAAAAGTTTGCAAACCACCAACATCCACAGTCTTCTTTTTGACTCCCAGAGCATGCCCCCTACTGTAGGCCAGGCATGACTGATGACACCTGGAAAACCAGCCTACTATGAAGCATTGGCAAGCAAGTATTGCTTAGCAATTCTGCTTCACCAGAGTTTCAAAGAGCTGAATTCAAAATGCAGAAGCATTTCAACCAGAAGCATTTCAACCACATCTCGATTATCTCATACTTTAAGAGACTGGTACAAAACAATGTCGTCTTCTTTTCTGAGTTTCTTCTGCTTCGCTACAGTGTGATTGGCACAATTGGCTCGTCCATTTCTTCAAAACGGCGGCCAAACATGAAGAAGGCATTTGCTAGCGAAGGTCCCTGGAGAACTCAATGCTGGAGTGATATTCAAATGTTTTCCAAGGAACCGGCTGACTTGAGAGGGAAGGGTGAAAGATCGAAAGGTGGGCATGGGTTGGAACAGGAGAAGAGAGCAAGGGAACGAGGAGAGTTGATTTACTTATAAAAAATGGTGAATTTCCATTGTTTTTTTGTATGTTGACTAGAAAGTAACCGCAGCAACGAAGCGGCGACTAAGGGGGATGATCTGCCAAGTCCTGGAAGTAACAGCCCGGACAACAGCCGCAACCAAAAAGAGCCATGATACTGTTCGTGGCATATCATGGGGAAAGTAAGCATCACATAAGTGTCCTGCGAAGCACATATTTGGGTAGATCAGGCGGTACAATCTCGAACAAACCGACCATAGGGTGGTTTAGCCACTGATAAATTTTGATCACAGTAGTCCAATGGGAGCTGGCTGCAGCAGCATTTTCTTCAAACATCTTATTTGAGGACCGTGTGACGCGACACTCTCAAAACATGGGAGCTGCCCTAGGTTGCTAGGGCTTGAGTACAACGTACTTCGTACATGAAACAGCCGGGTACGTCCGAAACAGCACCAGCAACGATGGAATGATAGGATAATTGACTACAGAAGGGTGTATCAACGCCCCAAAAGGTGTCAATGTCGTGGTTGTCGAAACAAGTGGTCTATGTTCGGATGGTGTTGGAAAGCGTGCAACTAGCCGGTGGTCGGACACACCCAGTCTTCAGACTTCATAGCATGGCATTTGGCTAACGTAAGAGATCCGGTGAAGCAAATGAACTGGTTTATAGGTGGACAGTAAATACCGAGGCTGAAATTGAACAATCAACTGACGGTAAAATAGCTGAAACGTGCGGCCGCGGATGATTCCCGCAATCCACTTCCCATAGTCTAGTGACGGAGAAAGGTGTTTTTGTCACAACACATTTCATCCAGAGAGTTCCTTTCTATATATATGGGCAACCCTCTTGGTATGAACACAGTAACAGAGCGATGGTGCTTATGCCTGTAGATATCGATGACAGACATGACGATTTACCGGTCAAAGTAGCCGAAACAGTGCACGGCAATGGGGTCGAAACTGTAATGACTATTTGTAGTTATTCAAGGGCCGAAGGAAGTTTAGAAGGCAAACTCCCGACAATATGGACAGATGAAAAGCAGAGCAGGGAAGAGGCAGCGAGAAGAGAAAGATTAGGAGAGAGAAGATGAGAAGAGAAAGAGTCAGAAGAAAGAAGATGCAGATGTGCGAAAAGGGGGGTATATCGCGAGTCACCGTGTTTTCCGAATGATTTGCGGCTCCGGAGGGTCGAACAGTAGGGTCGCTGAAGCGGCGGGTGCGGAGCCCGGTGGCCAGATGAGAGATGAAAAAGTGCAGCCCGCGGTGGCGCGAAGCACAGTTGGAAGTCAAAACGTTAAAAACACTAGGGGTTCGAAAATTGGAACTATGTCTTGAACTATGTCTTGAACTATAAGTTCACGTCTCGAAAATAAAACGTCAAAACGAACATAGTTCGAACAAGTGCGAAACCAACCTTGTACAGACACGTCCTTGGGAAGACAGAAGCTTGGACATAGAGGACACTGGTTGAAGATTTGAAGATTTGAAGATAGAGATAGATAGATAGATAGATAGATAGATAGAGAGATAGAGAGATAGATAGATAGATAGATAGATAGATAGATAGATAGAGTGAGAGTGAGAGTGAGAGTGAGAGTGAGAGAGAGAGAGAGATATAGAGAGAGAGATAGATAGATAGATAGACAGATAGATAGATAGATAGAGAGATAGATAGAGAGATAGATAGATAGAGAGATAGATAGAGAGAGAGATAGAGAGATAGATAGATAGATAGATAGATAGATAAATAGATAGATAGATAGATAGAGAGATAGAGAGATAGATAGATAGATAGATAGATAGACAGAAAGATATATAGATAGATAAAAAGATAGACAGATAGATAGACAGATAGAGAGACAGAGATATAGATAGATAGACAGATAGATAGATAGATAGACAGAGAGATAGAAAGATAGATAGATAGATAGACAGACAGATAGAAAGATAGATAGATAGATAGATAGATAGAGAGAGATAGATAGAAAGAGAGATAGACAGATAGATAGAGACATAAATAGAGAGAGAGATGGATAGATAGAGGCATAGATAGAGAGAGAGAGAGAGCAATAGTCAGAGAAAGAGTGAGAGAGATCGGTTGCTACGGCAACAGCTCAGTGTGTCACGCTATACTAACGTGATACTCTCCACGCTGCTGTGTACGTACAGACCGAAACGTCACGGACTTTTATGCAAATGTGGCCCCGGTAGTCTCCAGACGAACAAAAATAGGCGGATTTGGTTATCTGAAATGTTATGCAATATGGTTGTGATAATTATTTTCTAGTTCTTTTACTAATTGTAATTATTATGGGTGTTCTAGTTATTATACAGGATAACTCTATATAGATATACGAACATATATTTTTATCTATATAAATGAAACTAACATATTGAAATGTCATTAGCCAAGTCGTTTGGTTGAAAAGAATATCTTGGAGAAACCCTTGCGCAGAATCCACCAAATGATGGAGATATGCTGAGCAAGGGGCAGCGATTATGCTTCGGCAACCACTAGCCAAAGCAAAGTGCAATATCCCACAATTCCTGGGTAGAGTCTGCATATATATATATATATGAAAAAAAAGCTATGTATACTTAGTGTATATCTATAGATAATATAGCATGGAATTATATGTGTAGATATATATATATATATGTATACATCTTGAACTAGTGTATATCATGTCGGATGTTTGACACTACTGCAACGCAGGCCGTCGCAACGTTCTTGCTACGACATTGTTCTTCGCGGTTGTTAGGCTGAACGCAACGAGGTTCTTGAGCAATTTGACATTCACGAGTTTCAGTGCGGGTCTTGACTTCGGTTGGGGGCGGGGATGTATGTCGCTGTGGTGGATGCAAGGGCATGTGCGGCTGTTGGCGTTCCTTGTTGTCCGCCTATGTTGCAAACGCAGCTTTAGAGGCGGACCTGGGGGGAACCCCCCCCCCTTGAAAGGCGGACGAAAACATAACCGGCCCAAACTCTTGCACTTGCACCGCTCGCCCCCTAGTACTTGCTACGCAAAGGGGAACTCAGGTAGCTCACCGCTACCTTTCGAGGCCAAAGTGCAATATCCCACAATTTCTGGGTAGAGTAGGCCGAGATATATATATATATAAAATAAATCTATGTATATGTAGTGTATATGTATAGATAATATGTCATGGAATTATATTTGTATATATATGTCTCTGTATACATCTTTAACTGTATTGTATATCAGGTAGGATTTTTGCGACTACTGCAACGCAGTCCGTCGCAACGTTCTTGCTCCGACATTTTTCGTCGCGGTTGTTAGGGTGAACGCAACGAAGTTCTTGAGCAATTTGACATTATCGAGTTTCAGTGCGGGTCTTGACTTCGGTTGGGGGCGGGGATGTATGTCGCCGTGGTGGATGAAAGGGCATGTGCGGCTGTTGGCGTTCCTTGTTGTCCGCCTATGTTGCAAACGCAGCTTTAGAGGCGGACCTGGGGGGAATCGAAGGGGGGGGGGCCCCCACCCCCCTTGAAAGGCGGACGAAGACATAACCGGCCCAAACTCTTGCACTTGCACCGCTCGCCCCCTAGTACTTGCTACGCAAGGGGGAACTCAGGTAGCTCACCGCTACCTTTCGAGACATGGAACGGGGTGACAAAGCCGAAACAGGAGGCACGTTGCCAGTGAGCAAACACAAGACGATCCAAAAGATGATCTGAATGCATGCATATATAGGTGTATGGGAACTTTTTTGGATCTTGCCATGTTGTTTTGTTGCTTCTATTGGTGCCACCAGTCTGGCATGGCAGGTTCTCAACAGCGCTTCCGGTTTAGACTCTTAATGGCACATGGAGCTCTGCGTGTTGCCAGCTCAACGTGAAGCCTTCACTTCACTTCACAAAAGATTGAGGTTGCGAATCTCAGTCGATCAAGTTGGCGCAGCTTTTCTGTGTGCAAACAGTTTGCGTCTGATCGACTCCATCGACCTAAGGCTCATGCGAGTTCCCAGCGATACACCCATTGCCAGTGCGAGCGCTTGCACTTCGTCTCGGAGGGTGTCAACGCCTACAGGTGACATCAAGTCGTGACCCACCACAAATCCGCCGGCCTGCCTGCGTGTCTGATTGGAAGGTGTTGGAAGGTGTTGGAAGGTGTTGGAAGGTGTTGGAAGGTGTTGGAAGGTGTTGGAAGGTGTTGTTCCTGTTTCTGTTCTTGGTTTGTGCGTGTTCCTTTGTTCTCTTGCTGCGCGCTTTTGCTTGGTGTGAATCGTGCCCCCCTTTACCCCCCCCTCTGCTTCTTCTTCTCTTACTCCTACTCCTGCTCCTACTCTTTCCTTCTTCCCCAAGTACTAAACCGGTCGGGTAGCTAGCGAAACTGTCTACAGTATTCTACAGTACCGGTACTAGTCACAGGACGTACGCGGTACTAAACTGATCAACCAGTGCCTCATTTGGTATGTGGTCAATAGGTTGTGAAGGTAAGCACTTACTAGTCAAGCTGCGTCTGATCTATGGCTCTGTCTTCGTCTCCCCTTCTTTTTCTTTTCCTTTTTTTCTTTTTCTTCTGCTTCTCTCTCCGGCTTCCACCTAGAGTGCACCTCAAACTCCCTTGGGGTCACCTCTCTGTGGCCAGCGGGCTTGCCGCAGGCAATTAAATATCTGGTGTGGTGATTTCAATGGTCACAAATTGGTGGAAAAAAAGAAAATGTCATGAAAATGTCACCAAGCCACGAATCAGATATGACCTCCCTTCCCAATTTCTGTCCATGTCATGTGCAACTTGCCTAGTTCGACCAGCTCAATTCGTCGATCAATGCTTTGCTCAAGCACAGAGATCTGCTGACGTCCCTGCAGAACTCTCTCATTCGGTGAAAAGTGAGCAGTGCTCAAACCCATAACAACCTCATAATCCCATATATATAATATACAGTATATATATATATAGGTAATATAGGTTCATACATCCAATATATAGAGGTTATATACTCATGTATCATTATCCCATAATAGTGTTCGTTGAGTATCTGACGTCGATTTTTTTATATCACCCAGAATCATCAACCAACCGGTTTTTTCAGCAGCCACTGCTCGGCCGTGATCTCAGCCTCCTTTTCAGAGCGTCGTAATTCACAATGGACTGCCATAATGTCTTTGGCTTTGGCTGTGCCTATAACCTGCGAGCCGGGCGAATCTGGGAGGGACCGATTGGTTTTTTTCTCGGGTGTAAACTGGACCATGGTTTCACAGGAACACGGAACGTGCGAAACGATCGAAACGAACGAAACGAACCTTCAAGAGCCCTCCAACGAATTCAGAGGCATCAAGGGAGCCGCTGCCGTCGTAGTCAAGGATTCTGCAGATCGCTGCTACCAGAGCTTCTGCTACTAAAAAGATGCACTGAAGTTAGTCACCAACGGATGCTAAGGTCCCAACGTGAACAGATATTCGGCCTCATTTGGGTCGATTCCAATCTCCTCAAAATACCTGGCAATCCGAAAAGCACCAATCATTGAAGGCCCGGGCTCATGGCGACACAGCCCCCAAGGGCCATGGCGTGTCTGAGTCTGAGTGTGACACCGGGACACTTTGGGCTGTTCGAGGTGTTCAAGAAACTCCTGTTGCGTGAGAACCTCACAATCTGTAAAGGGCAAAAGTTGATCATGACAAGTCAGGGCTATCAGATCTTTGATCTGAACTTCGGGTATCAGAGGACTCAACAAGATGCCCTGGTATCTTAAGGGTGCGGTGCATGACCACACACCAGATTCTTTTGGTACTTTTTGACTGAGCCATCAATCTCCCAATGTCACCAATATCACCACTTGCACCACCATGTTGCAAGTGTGCTCAGCATGTTTTTGCTCAGAATACTCTGCCCTACAATTCCCACTTACTTGGCCAGTTTCGTTGAAAGCATGCAAAAAGAGTCGTTGCCATCCAAGTGACCCCATCTTGATCACTGTCTCCGTCTAGAAAGACCTGCAAGGGCAGAAGCAATGAACCCGGCCCAAGATTCGCCAAGCCGACAAAAACCGCTTCTGCCCAATCTCGGACCTTGTAGATCTTTTCATAGGCTTTGCGAAGGTCTTCAAGCCTTCGGGTGAGGTGAAATACCACTACTTGCATTAATATTGGCATTAATCATATACCTAAAAAGTAGTCACACTCCCAGCAAAATGCGGTGCAAGGTGAGATCCTTCGGGTCTGCAGTGGTGCAACTGGGACTGCGACCGCTTCTCGGCCGACTTCAGCTTGCTTTGGTCTGCCTGAGAGGTTGACAGCACAGCCGCCCGGACAGCAGAGTTCGATCAGAAAGTTTTAAATGAGAAACAATAGATTCTAGCTATAGGTTTGGCGCCCTTTAAGTACTCAAGCCAGCCCCTTATTCAGGACCCAATTTGACCCACCAGCTAGCCGACTAGCCTCATCCAATGTGCTTTCCACGATGACTGCAATCATCACATTCAGGATGGCAAAGGTGGTGACCTCCGCAACTGTTCAAACTGCGGTGCTTGTGACTTCATGATCTTCATGTGGAGTAGACGTAGAAAGCATAGGTTGAGCGGTTGAGCCAATGCATGACAATTTGAACCACGTCTAGATCGAAATGTCAAAGTAGCTGGAAAAGAGCTTGAACATTGCTTGAAACATCTTGAAAACACTCACACCCCAGTCTGAGACTCAAACATGAAGGTACAAAATGAAAAAGCCTGCGGACCAAGGTTGGAGCTTCATCACCTTGGCATGGCCATCCATCGATAGCACAGGTTTTGGCCCCTCACAGCACATCCGCCGCATCCGCCCACCTCTCTGGCGATGTCTGCCCAGCCCTCTGTGGTGGTCGCTTGAAAAAGAGTCAGCATGCTCCTGTCGCTGTCGCTGCGCCACACTAAGCGCAAGTTCACTCACAGCCATGTAATCTTCGCACCTAAACACTGTGCCGAAGTACTCTTCAATGTATGCGTCACCTGGCTCATGTTCACTTTCAAAAGGCAGTCTCGTGCTCCAAGCTAAATCCTCTTTGTTTATCTGTTTGCAGTATTTTGCAGTCCTGTATTCCCAGTCCTCTACTCCCTACTCCAAGTTTACAGTCTGTTTTGAGTTCCTGGCCTGCAGTTGGCAGTTCCAAAAAAATACTCAAAAAATCTCAAGAATGCCTTCTCCAATCCTCCAAATTATGTACAGTATCTCAGTGAATCAACATCTGATAGAATGGACTTGGATGGACTTGGCTAATGGATCTGAGAAGCCAGATCTAATCAAGTTCATCGTTCAAGGTTGGGGCAGATTGAATTGCTAGAACCATGAAGGCCGCCCCTTAGTAGCCACTCGAGACAAGTTGTAGCACACCAAGAACGACTCAGATTTTGCGCCTCGATGTGCATGACCGATCAAGCGAGTCGAGACGATGCTGAAAATATAGATGACAACAGCAAGCAGCACCCACCTCAATTCCACTCTATCCGTGACTATCCACTCACACACTCCCATCATCAACGCCCAAAAAAAAAGTATCTAAAAAGACTGGAAACTTCATCCAACCGAACATGCGCCACACTCCGAGACACGTCCAAATCAGCGTGTAGGCCGCATTCAAGATCCCACGGACCAGCTTCCAGAGGCCACCCAAAACCCTCAGAAGCCTCACAAAATCTGCGGTACCCTGTGGGTGTTTATCCAAGAGAAATTGGCAGTTACGCATCACACATACTGATTTAAGGATCCAAAATGGTGATTTAAGCATCAAAAATAGCGATTCAACCAGCCTGTGAATGAACCATCAAAAATGTCGATTTTTCATCAGCAACATTTTGTGGATTTACCAGCAAAGAAGTGGAATAGAATATGATCGAATCAGTAAATGGGAACTTAACTGATATGACCTACCTGTGGTAAAGCCAATTTCATGAAACATTCCCCAGTGACTTATCAAACATGGGTGGTTTTCCCAACCATTCCACTTGGAGAATTGTTGGGTTCACCACGCTGTCAAAGCGCTCAAAAACCCTGCCTGAAAACACGAATAACTCTGATTAGGCGTAGTGAACGCAGAACTGAAAAGCTACCAATCTCTGTTGTATTCCTCGCAGGGCACGCACCAACAGAGCGTTTCAGGGCAAGTTTGAACATCAAGGCTTTCAAAAAGATGCCATAGCCTCAAGATAATAACGAGAATATTGTCCACCTGAAGCAGCTCAGTATCAAATCAGACTATTAAGTACTTCTGATAAAGAAAAACAGTCTGTCAAATTTATGCAACCAAAAACAGACCGTTCTGAGGCATAGACTATTGATACCGCCACTATCAGCAGATCAAATAGGTTCCTGTCATTGAAAAGCCTTACAACGCACAAAGTACAGAGCTTGAAAGCCCTTATGTAGCAGAAACAAATGTGTGAGAACCAAATACTCGAGCATGTGCAGGAATTCTTTGCTTTTCCGGATTCTTCATTGAGCAGAATGGTGAGAAGCAACACTATTCACAAGCATCAAGCGGTTTCTGTGCTCCATAAATCCAAGCAAAACTGAAGTAAAGCCAGCGGCACCAAGCACTCTTAAAGAATCTCTTGACAGGAATAGTCGCCTCAGCAGTCGAGCTGTCAGACCAGAGGTTGCTTCGAACAGCTACAGTTTTGCTGAGAGCGCAACAATGAAGCGCACAGTCAATTCCACAAGGAATATGAAGGTGAACATTATCTGAGCAACAAAGACTACATGAAGTTTCAACCTGTCTGGGAAAGCCTGCAAAGACGACTGAAATATCTGACGTCCCCTTGGCCACCTTTGACTACAGTCAAAAGAAAAGCTCTAGGCAACTTCCACGTTCCGCCATGATTTTCTCTCCTGCGTTCTGGCCTCCACTGCTGCCCATGCAGGTTGATCCACGGACTGACTGCTATCGACTTCAATACCAGAATTTGCATCCACCTCAATTCCCATGTAGACCTCAGGAGGACCCATTTGGTCTGAACTTGCCAAATCTCGTTTTTACACATACATATCATATATCACACCACGACACATGAAAAATCCTATTTGATCCTACTATCCAATCAGATCCTATCCTGTCCTATCCTATCATGTCATACATCATCTAGCATATATAATATATCATATATCATCTAGCATATATCATATATCATATATCACATATCATATGTCATATGTCATATATCATATATCATGTATCATATGTCGTACATCAAATATCAGATACCATAAACATACATCATATGTCATATGTCACATATCATATCAGTATATATATATGCATGTATATACACTGTATCTTGCTAGAGAACCGAAGCTGCTAAGTCCCCTTAGGAACGAACTGCATTGGCTGTGATGATGAGAGCCACCGTGAGCAAAAAGGGCCGGGTGCGAACTACCTCCCGGAGCACCAGTCGAGTGCCAATGACCTGCAAACATCATCTAACGTGGCAGGAAGATCCTTTAAGGAATTCAAGAATGGGGAATACCAGTATACCTACATGGGGATGGGTCAAAACCCTGGTACCTAGTGAAGCCCAAAATAGCTGGTAAATGGATGTTCATCCCACTAAAAATGTATCTATAGGTATTGACATTGACCCATACCTACATTGTGGCAAAATGATTGCCTGATGATGACCCCAAATGGCACCTCGCCTTTTTGAGGCATCCAGGATCTTTCTCAACTTCCGCTTCTTCCGCAGCGTCCACTTGGGCTTGCGCTTGCGCAATGAGGTTGGCTTCATCCTCCCACCGTTTCCCGTCAAATGGCAAGTCAAATGGTGGTTTCCATAAATGGGGAGCATCCCCAAAATGCTTGGTTTATAATGGAAAATCCCATGAAAATGGATGATAACTAGGGGTACCCCTATGACTTAGGAAACCCCCAAATGGATCCAAATGGGAAGATCCGAGGGAAAATCCAAAATCTTTGAAACCAGAAAAACATCAGAAATCTATAGAAATCTGCTAAGTCTGCTAAGTCTGCTATTTCCATTCCCATCTTCAACTTGCCACCCAGGCTCCGCCAGGGATACTCGCCGTCTGGCATTTTTGGCATGCTGCGCCGCCTCAGAAATCTCTTCAGTTCTTCAAACATTGAGTAGGGATGAACACCTAAATTCGCACAACGGTGATCTATCGTATATATCATAATATGATACATATATGATACATATGATCATATATCTATATTCAACACCTATATGATTAAATTATGATTAAATTATGATCCATCGTAATCTTTAAGGAGTTCTTTGGAGCCTTTTGCAAATGCAGTCAGATCCCCTCAGTCCAGCACGAGGTCTTCACCCTCGGTTTCATGATGCTCGTTCTCACCTGGAGCAACTCGCGGACAATCGTTTGAATCATGTCCGAATTCTAAATTGTTCTTTAAACCAAAACAAACATCAATCTGCATGGCATCAAAATTATTTACCAATTTACCACCATGAAATCAAAGTCGATTTTGTGAAAATGTATTTCATCTATATTTTGGGAATGTTTCCCATACGTCACCATCCGCCAATGGGTCAATGGTCCAAGAGCCAAACTGCTGGTGCTGGAGTTGCTGGAGCTGAAAGAGGCCGACGCCCTTCGATGTAGGATGCCTCAGTAGTTTCAACATGTTTCAACCAATGAATGAAACAACAAGTCACGGATCCAATCAATTTCCAACAAATCCTCCCAACT